AAAACTACAAGCTTTTGTCATAACCAGTTTAAACTTTGTGTACACATCATTTTAAGTGCGGGAGTCAAATGCTCTTCATTCTCTTTCATTTTTATTGTATTGTAGCATTTTGACTACAACTGGTTAAAACTAAAAATGTGTTCTTTAAATCTCTGACATCCAAGAGGGATCCGAATTTCCAAGTCCTCATTTTTCTCTTACGGAAAGGAAAAAATGCACGTAACTGTAGGCTCTCTTTCTTTCCAGATATTCCTAATCCTGACCCTTCCAACATCCTTTATCCTCTATAAAAATAAATTTACTCTTCTTTTTTTAAGACACGTAGCCTCAAGAGTATAGTCTTAATTGCATTTAGTGCATTTAAGTGAGGATTTGTACTGCACATTTTTGAGTCATTACTCAAGGCACTTTCAGACTGGTTGATTGGTTTGTACTATTGTTCACAGTTGCTAAAGTGGGTGACACATTTTGAACTACACCCGTAGGGTAACCCTTCAGCCTTAATGTAGTTTTATTTTTAAATAAAAGGACAAAGTACTTTCTCAACCCAGACAAAAAGGGAAAACTCTGCCTACTTTCTGTCATCATACTGCATTTTGTATCTGGTTACTAAAGCTCATGTCTCTTCTCTCTCCTGTTCTTTGTGCTTGATTCCAAGCATTTCTACAAAATATAATGTCACCAAATTATTCCATTGTCTATTATAGGGATAGACAGAAACCAACTTTACATCATGTGCTTTTTAAATCTTTTCTGCATAAATCAAGGCGATTGGCAGCAATGAAATATATAATTGTAGATTATTTTTTAAAATATATTCTAATTTACAATCACATAAAATAGTTCTAATTTAATGCAATTTCTTCAATTGATTATCTCACCTAAATTCTACAAAGGATAGAAGGCTGTTTTTACTAACCACTAGAAGAAAATAAAAGATAAAGTCAGTGTGAGAGTCAGTTTGATAGAAACATTAGGCTGGGGGAGAGTGTAGGGGGATTTTACACTCACTTTATCCAGTCTTTTTAGAACAGAGGTGTCAAAGTGGTGGGTCATGGGCCGGATGCGTCATGCGCATGTCATGTCCACCCCAGCTCTGCAAAAGGGAAAAATGTTATGACACATCATGTGACGCTGCAAGTTTGACCCCGTATTTTAGAATGTGCATGTTGATTCTTATGTCGTTGCTTGTATTTTTATAACGTTACATACACATATGGAAAGATACACAGAATTGTTTTGAACCTGGGATCTGTTCTCTACACAAGATCCAAAACTAGATAAAGAGAACTATAATTTCCCTTTCCAAGGAACTGATAACTCTAGAGATTTTAGAGAGGGTGAGTTTTAAACTCACTCACTGGATTCCAGCCCACTGCACCATTTTGTCAAAACAATTGAAATTGATTTTAAGCAGGGGTCTTCAAACTTGACAGCTTTAAGACTTGTGGACTTCAACTCCCAGAATTCTTCCTCCTGTCATGTTAGCTCAGGAATTCTGGGAGTTGAAGTCCACAAGTCTTAAACTTGCCAAGTTTGAAGACCCTTGATTTAAAGGGTCTCAGTAAATAAAATACTTTTTATCTGATTCTTGTAAAGAAAATAAATTTGGTGTTGTTTTAGTCTCTTGGGAAGGTAATTCAGAGATGGGGTAAGAACAAAATAAACCATCAAAAACTGTTGTGCTTCATATACTAAACTAACCCTAAACCTAGGTTAACAAAACACAGTTGCTGAAGTCACATAATATATTATGCTTAAAGAAATACCTCATATTAATGTTTAATGTGATGATCTGTTTATACAACATGCTAAGACAATGGCTGGATTCCCACAATTCATCAAAAACAATTCAGACCTTTTTTAAGCCTAGCTTTCTGTGTGATGCCAACCAAACAACAGAGAAATTTAGAGTGGTTTGGAGAATTATCATTCTTGTTATCCTCTTCTTGACATAGAATACCCTTTAGGGCCACCAAAGCAATCTTAGGCATAACTTCTAAATATAAATGTGGTTGAAATGGATCCAGGTTATTGGTGATAGCCACTGAGAAACCGCTTGCTTGAGTAAAGTTGTGACTATTTGGCATAGTTGTGAGGATTGAAAAGTGTATATTTTATGAATAGCTGTATCGTAGCCTATTTCAGGTTGCAGCAAAAATGGTAAGTGGCAGCAAAAGCTCTAAAAGTGGAAGTTGCACATTGTGCTTAACTGTAACATGTATGGATATTTCAAGTTTGGGTATTTATATAAACCCAGCCATTATTCAATAAATCATGGTTAATATAATCATTTTCATTTCTCAGTGTGAGCCTGCTCACACTGACCTTTGGCATCTGCCAAATTATTTCATTCATTACAGTTAGTGTTTTCATTACTTTCATGCACTAGAATTAAGCAGAATTAATCAGCATTGACTCCTGGCAATCCCCTTCACAAATCTCTGCAGTTTTCTTGGCAAGGTTTTTCAGAAGTGATTTGCCACTGCCTCCATCCTAGGCTTGGAGATGGGGATTGACCCAAAGTCCCCCAGATGGCTTTGTGTCCGTGAAACTCGTGGTCTCCCAGTTTCTAGCCCACTGCTTTAACCGCTAATACCGTAACGATTGTCCTGATAGCCCAGGAGAAAACAAACTGGTACTTTATAGATTTTGGATTTTTGCTCTCCATGAGCCCTTGTCACTGTAGCCAGTGATTATGGATTATGGGAGATGTGGTTAAATAAATGAAGAATTCTCAGATTGCCTATTGCTGGTATTAGCTTCTGTTTGTGGAAGATCAGTTCATGTGGGTAGTAATGAAATAAAATTGTAACAAAACTCTAGAAGGTTCTTCTGGAAAATGCAAGATGCATCTTTTCACTAAGGATTATTATGGGTCATATGAAGTGAGCATCCATTAAATCTACTAAATTTGTTCTGTATAACTTTTTTACTCAAGATGCTTTTTAATTTCCAAATCTAGTTCTGTTCTGGGATTTCCTGGTAGTTTCTATCATGGTAGCAGATCAACTGACCTTACCTAGCTTATCCAGATCATTGAAAGTTAACCAGGTGCTGCTGTCAGGTTGGGACACTATTTTTGCACAAGATGCCAGAAATTGAATAAAGTTAGTTTAAAGGTTAACTTAGACCTTTATACGGTTCTATGATATGCCTTGTGTGATTAGCTGATATTTATGTACTGTAGGAGATATCCAGTTGACAGCCCTATTCATATTTGCCAGATCCTTTTTCTGAAAGGGAAAAAGAATAAGAGAGCAAAGGAGTCCTAAAGACCCTAATCTTTCTGTGAGCATGGTATATTTGTCTTAAAGCCTGTTTTATAGTTTGATAATATTAGATAATGGAAAGGCTACGGTGGATTGAAGATTTGGACTAAAATAGGTAAATAGGTAAAGACAAAGGAAATGTTGTAGCCACTTAAACCTGGAAATGTAGATTTGCGTGTCCTGTCTACTGTGCTTGCTGGGAAAGAGTAGAAACCCATGGTGGGAGCAGCTAACCAAATGCTTTACTAGGAGGCCCCTTACACTTGGTCTTGTACTTTTCTCCTTCAATGTACATTATTTTGGATGCTGGTAAACAAAAAAATCCCTTTGGATAGGCTGGGGGGTGGGGTGGGGGTTATAAATATTATTTTAGCTATATTTGTGGTCTAAATGGATTAGAAAAGAATAAGAAAGCATATTGATGCAAAAAAGAGGGTCTGTTGTCATATTTCAGTTTTGATTTATTCCTGTGTAATACTGCTTCCTCACACAAAATATAATTAATATAGTGTCAGCATATGCATACACTCTCTCTATATGTAAATATACACAGAGTTAAACACAAGGTTACATACATACATTATAGAATTAATAATACAAATAAATTCATGGAAATAATTACTCATTGCAGCCCAATGGATCCTTTCTGTTCATGGGTACTACAGCTTTTGGATTCTGAATTGCTCAAGAGCAAGAGATGATAGCTTTCTTTATACAATACTTATTTGGTGGTTTTTCCCAAAATCTGGTTGAATCCTTTCGGAACAGTTCTTATGTTACCTAGTGCTTTCCAGAAGTCTTCTGACTAAAATATTCACCCAAGAAAGTCATAGCCATATTTGCTTGAATCTGAAAGTTATAGTTAATGGTAGTTATAGGTCCAATATTTCTAAACGGCATCAGGTTGGGGAAATGTAATTTCCCAATATTTAGAACCTGCCCATCTCCCTCACAGATTCCCCTCTCTTTGGGGGAGTTTTTTGATTTATTAGATATTTCCCATCTTTTGTTCAGGAGCTTAAGGAAGTATTAATAGTGTTCCCGCTTCCCATTTTGCCCTATGACAACAACCCAATGAGGTAGAATGTCTAATGAGAATGTCCAATGAGAATGTCCAATGAGAATGTCTATCCCAAAACCATCTGGTGAACTTCCATGCTGAAGGCTGCCAGTCCAACTTCTTAAGCATTATGTCACACTGCTGTGTTTCTTAAATTTTTAAAAGTCCCTCTGTGAGGGAGATGGGCAGTTTCTAAATGTGATTGATAGATAAACAAACAAACTTCTTTCATTGTATCTAATGTTTGCATGGAATTACTGTTAAAACTGCTTTTTCTTTCTTGTGATGATTTGAAGATTAGTTTCCATATTTCTTGGAAATGTTTTACATTGCTGACTTATTAGATACTGCATGATCCTAAATAACAAAAGTCATCACTTCTTGTACAGTGCTTTATTTCAAATACAAAAAAAGAAAGTCCTACAACTCATCCTATTTACATTGTCTTACTTAATTCCTCCCTCATTGGCTTCTAACTTCTAACAGGGCTGTTAGAAGGCAAAATCATTTGAATAATTTCTTAAAAATATCTTTGAAAAAACTGCTGTAACAAAGTGGAGGGGATCGCATGTTGCTGTAATAGTTTGGAAAAAGCATCTACCTTGTCAACTAAAGTCAAAGGGTTCAAGCAACAGCAGATGCTAAGAGCAGTTTGTCTTGCTTCCCAGGTGGTGCGGTGGCTCAACAGGTTCCTGTGCAAGCCATCCAGGTGCATCAGGGCCCCCAGCAAACGTCTCCTACAAGCGACAGCAGCACTGACATCACACAGACCTCTTCCAGTGGGACAGGTAGGCAACTAACCACCCCTAACTCTCTCTCTGCAGCTACAGGTCAGGAGTTCTTCAGGGTTGTCCACCAGAACTCAACATCAAGGAGTTCAATGCAGGTAGACCTTGGATTATGAAATTCAACTGGGACTTGAATTTCCATCACTAAGCAATACAGTTATAAAGAGTGATGTGATGTGACAACATTGCTTAGTAACAGCAACCCTGGTTGCTGTTGTAACCCCAGGACTATGTGACTCATTAAGCAAGGATCTCACATGACTGCATTACTTAGTGACCCTGCAGTCATAACCTCAGGATAATGCATGTCATTAAGCAAAGACCTCATGTGACTTCTGACATGGGAAGAAGTGGGAGACCCAGGCAAGCAGGCCAGTAGGTAAGAGGTCAAGCAACTACTGTGGGTAAGCACTATGGAGGGTGGCCATAGAGAGCCTGGGTGGGCATGTGAAAAAATGGCAGGAGTGGGAAACACTTGTGGAGTGACTTGGAGACTCCTGCTGGTTTCCTCATTGACTTTGCTTGGGAGAACCCAGCAGGGAAGGTCACACATGGCAATCGCTTGATCACAGAACACTGCGAGTATTGTAATTGTGAATTGGTTGCCAAGCTCCCAAATTGCGATCACTGGGGATGCTGCAACAACTGCAGGTTAGAGGTCAGTTATAAGTCCTTCTCATCCAGTGCCATTGTTACTTTGAATTGTTGCCATGTAGTCAGAACCGGAGGACTACATGTAACAGTGGTGTAATTTTCTGCTGACTCTTTGCAGAAAATTTTAGGCAAAATGAGCAAAGCCTCCAGTAGATTAAGCACGTATATCTGAGTTTTAAAAAAACTTTCTATGCCATCCCCACATTGTCACAAAGTAAAATGAGTTGGATCAAAACTGCCCTGGTTTCAATCACATTTATTCAGTTCCCATGTATGTTTAAGACAATATGTCATCAGTGTTTCCTAATTCCTTAAGAAGGAGGACCAGACTTCCTGTCTTTTGGGGCAAAAGATCTGTAATCAGTGAGTCAAAATTTCAAGATAGCAGATAACTCCTAATATGGCTTGATGATGGAATCTAGAAAATGAATGACTCTCCTTTGCTTGAGGCTGAAGACCAGATTATCCTGGTTATCGTAGTTGATGCATCTCTTCCAATTATATAATAAGATGCTATTTTCTCCTTGCTCCTGCTAGGGGAAAGTAGGGGTATTCTGCAGAATATGCTATTTAATCTTATTGTTCTTACAATAATAGGGATTTATTCTACGCTTATTCTTGTCTTGGGTCAACGTTTATTATTATCCACGAGGTTAGGATTTTTTAGGTCAGTAGTTCCTTGACTAATTAGTAGTGATAAGTCAGCAAAAAAAAATTAGCAAATGAGAATACAACTTTGGTGCCATCTAGTGAAACTAGTAAAAATATATTCCAAAAATATTTCTCTTTTTTGAATGAAAATTATTTTACAAGGGTGAATAAACCAAAGTCTATTTTGTGTCAAACTTGATTCCTGTGGACTTTATAGATATATGTGTAGTTTTCATACCAACAACACAGAAGTGATTCGTTGTCTTCCAGGATGACATTTGGGTATTGATGTTTTAATTTTTCAGTGTAATCTATTGTCCTGAGGCGTCTAGTGGTTTCTTAACCAGATATAACCAAGATCAGACGATCCCAATTGCGTGGTGATGTTCCTATATCATTAGCTTTTCATAATCTGGTGCAGATCAGAAAGACTGTATTTGATTTCCCCCCCAAAACTATTGTATTATACAAAATTAAAGTCCTGTTCCTTACTTCTAATCTTAATTGGTAGTGCTATTTTTTCTACATTAATTATTTTTTTAAAGTTGTTCTTATTTCCCAGGTCCTCAGTTCTTTTTGCCAGTTTCAGTCCCTTTGCATGTAAAATCTGCTTTTACTCTTCTACTACAGATTTGTGAATGGGGCTTTTCTTTCCCCCTCAGCACTCTCTTTCTCTCTCTTCCTCTCTCTCTCAAGGTTCGTTATTTGTGTTGGAAGTTTCTTTCCCCCTTCTCTGCTGTCTTCCTGATTTGACTTCTGGTCTATTTTATGGGACAAACTCTCCAATTAAGGAGAGGGTAGGACTGTTCTAACCCTGCTTCCTGAGCAGCATCAAAGCTCTGGATCCCTTGTTGTAAATTTTATACATTGATATTAAGGTTTTTATACATTGATATTAAGGTTTTTAGAAACAATTTTCTATCCGTGTCCAAAAATAATGTTTTTTAAAAAAATAATTTTTGGTTCCACTGAAAAATAGCTTTATCCCCACCATTCCCCCTCAATAAAGGAAAAGAGATCTGGGAATATGAAAGAGCAGCCTGATTTTCAGCCATACATTACATCTTTTCAGATACACTGAACAACTGTAGAATCTGTATTATGTCATGTATCAAGAAGCCTTTGGACAATTTTGTCTCCTGGCAGCAGGATTCAGACTGTGGCAAATGTACATGACAAATTTTTACTGGCTCAGAGATCCTCTAGATTAGGTTTTACCTTGTGACTGTGCACACACACCTGATGGAAGCGTGAAGAGGTCTTGCTTCTGCAGGTGAGACAGCGGAGGGAAGCCAATGAAGCTTCCAGCTATTTCAATTGTGTCTTTTCTTTTCTTTTGCCAGTGACCCTGCCAGCTACAATCATGACTTCATCTGTGCCAACCACTGTGGGAGGCCATATGATGTACCCCAGTTCTCATGCAGTGATGTATGCGCCTACATCGGGCCTCACGGATGGTGGGCTTGCAGTTCTCAATGCCTTCTCCCAGGCCCCATCAGCAATGCAGGTTTCACATGGGCAAGTCCAGGATCAGGGTAAGACTGGATCCAGATAAGTTAGATGTTTGAACAACCTACATTGCTTACTGCCCATCTGATTTCTCTTTCTCTACCTATACATATATACAACATAAAGCAGCATTTGGTTCTCAACCAGCAGAGCGTTTCCAGTTCAACATGGGTACCTTAACTGTATCTGTCAGAAACTCTTTAAGCAATCCATAATTTGTCCTTAGCTGGCACAAGAGCCACATGAACTCAGGAAAATAGATGTTAGAGATGTATTACCTCTACAATAGCTTTGTCTTTCGGCTCAAAAGAATATTTTACTGAGCCTAGAAACAGACCTTGCTCCAATATGGTGGTATTTGACCGGTTCTGCCTGGTTCTGGAGAGCCGGTAGGTGTGATGAGCGGCAGAGACCAAACCTTTCTCTAGGCTGCTCTAATGGCTCTGCTGTTGGGCCCACCCGCCTACCAGGGCTTCCATACTCATATTTATCCGCTGAATTTGAAGCGCAGCTACTTTGTGCGGCCCAGAATAGCGCCGTGCGGCAGCTGCTGAAGTGACCGGGATTGTGCAGGCTTGCAGGAGGCAAGTTAGAACACCTCTGCGCCTGCGCAAATGCCTCTGCGCCTGTGCAAAGTGCGTGTTTAACACGTGCACACAAATGTGTGCACGCGTGCAAAGCGCACCCACCAAGCCACGCCCACCGAACCGGTGGCAACAATATTTGAATCCCACCACTGCCTTGCTATCTTCTCTATTTGAGGAACAAATTTGCTAAAATGTGACAATCAAAAGTATAAACAAGGAAGGAAATCAAGAAAGAGGATCCTTTTCAGTTGGCCTCTTTAAAGTTTAATACAGATGAATAAGGGATGTGATCTGAGAGAGGATTTACATGCAGATGATGTACACAGTAGCTCTGAGTTTTATGCAACAATTCAGGATAAGCATTTGATTGAGGCTTCCTTATCCTATTTATGGTGGTCACAATGGCTTCCTGTCCCAATTTTTCTAAAAACCACAACTCTTGAATCCCAAAAAGGAGATGCTGATTATTGCATAGGCTGCTGGGATATACATTATAAAGGAGGGAGATTAAAAAATGATTTCCAAATCACTTCAGAGTCTATTCTCTTAGTGAGGTTTTTATATGAAAGGGGAGGATCACATAGTATATTAATGCATGAATTATTTAAATTTCGTATATTGAATTAATTCCAATTGGCTAGATCTACCAATATATCAACACTAGAAATCTTGCTTTACAAACCACAGTGGCTGGGTTCACATAACACATTAAACCTTTTTCTTAAAAAAAAAGCCAAGCATATTATTGTATAGTACACGTGAATTCTATTTATCTATACACTATGTTTTTTTGTTCTGTAAAAACATAGCTTGCTTTGTGAGTTATTTGGTTTTGATAGCAGTAGTTCATTTTTTAAATTTATGCCTGCATAATCTAGAGTGATTGAGGCTAATTTTGGAGGATGACTAGTGTACATCTGTCATTTTCTCTGGCAGGTGGAGTCCCTCAGGTATTCCTGACAGCTCCGTCAGGAACAGTTCAGATCCCAGTCTCAGCTGTTCAGCTTCACCAGGTAGGTACAAAACAACCTTGTATTTTTCTTTTCAGCCTTTACCCTGAGACTGCAGTCATTTTACTGAAAATGAGATATACTTGCTGGAGTCATAAGTATGGTATAAAAAACTACTTGTAATTATGCTTGTAATTATTTTGCAGCGTCTGATTTTTTCCCCCTTAGTTGTTCAAGACATGAGGATTTCAAGCTTCATGTTCCATTTACAGAAATATTGCGAGCAGATGTTCATTTAAAACAAGGGTCTCCAAACTTGGCAACTTTAAGACTTGTGGACTTCAACTCCCAGAATTCTCCAGCCAACTACTGGGAGTTGAACTCCACAAGTCTTAAAGTTGCCAAGTTTGGAGACCTCTCATTTAAAACATGTGACTGCTAGCAGAAGCCTCTCAGTTTATTAACAGCAGCTCCAGTTAAATATATACTGAATCTCTGAGCTTGCGTGGCAATGTGCTGCTCATTGAATATATATAAACACGGGCTTTTTCGCATCGGTGTCATTTTGCGTGTCACTGACTTTTATTAATTGTGATATGTACAGTGAGGTTTCATATGCTTTGAAATTCTAAAAGGTAGTTTTGAAATGTTAAGTGAAGAAAGTAAGCTGGGATTGCACCTTTGTGAGACCCAGGAGCGGAAGAATATTTGGTGTTCGCTCATAAGATGGTGTTCCTTTCATCGGTTCTTTTCTCTCTGCAGATGGCTGTCATTGGTCAGCAGAGCAGCAGCACTGCCAACTTGACAGAGCTGCAGGTGGTCAACTTGGAGGCATCACATAGTTCCAAGAGTGACTGAGCAACTTTGGGAGGGACCTGGTGAGGGGAAGGGAAGATGTGTGTACCCAGCACCCCAACATGAACCAGCAGATGCCACCGCCTCCACCTCCAGCTTTATGCTGCATCTGGCCCTGGATCTATGGCACTCCTCAAGCTGCACAAGGATCTCGGCAGTCCCTATTTTTGTATGGACTCCATCACTTATTTATTGTTGCCTTTTACACGTTTTCTTCTCACTCTTTACACACTGACACCCCCACCCACAAAAGCACCCACAGAAGTACATAGATGCATATTAAAAGTGGCTGCAAGGCCAGCAGCAGGAAGCTGAGCCTGGGCTGTAGGGGGACTTTGTTACACTGCATTTACTGTTCTTTTTGTTTGTTGTTTTGTTTTCCTTCTTGTTCCAGCCAAAGAAACTTTCTCTCATGAGTGGGAGAATTTGCTCTGCCGTGTATAAATCTTTCCCCCTCTGTTTTCATTGCCCGGGGAGGGAACTTTTCTCCCTCTTTGCCTTGCTGCTTCTGATACATAAGAATGTCCTTGAATGTCCTTAGTTTGTAACCTCTAGGCAGAGCAATTGAGGCTGTGGGAAGAAGCTGCAGTCCAGAAGGCTGCAAAGCCATTCTGAAAAAAGGTCGTCTCTTTTCAGGCATAGCCCTGATATCCTTACACACACACACAAACACACACACACACACACACACACAGAGCTGGGACAGTCACCACTTTCTCCTCCCCCATTCCAGTTCAGGTCACTT